ATTGAACATGATATATGTTCTGTCCAAGCAAAATAACACAAATCCTAATTCCTATACGCGACTAAGTCAAAAATGGGGAGAAAATCGTAAAACTAAAAAAGACAAAAATATAATTGAAAGAAATGATGGTAATGGTAAAAGCAGGACAGTATCACACAAGTTATCAAACACGTTACTGTCAGACATCCAGTACCAAGTTAGCACATGATTCATGAGAAGGTACATAAACTGTGCGAGGTGGAGCCAGCGGGTATGATAAGAAACTTGCTGAAATTTCGTCATAGAACAGTCCAGAAAGAACTTTTCAGTAGGGCGGATAAGGATTCTGCAGAACTTGGAGGAGGCATTATTCATATTGGGCCCTTGGCTAGTTGGTATGGTGTAATCTAACACTTTGCATTAACGTTGCTACTATCTCTGCAAGGAGCAATATGTTGCAATACAATCGTCACCAGAAGGAGTAAAATGTCAATCTCAAATAAAACAACTGAACTTGAACACAAGGATACATCCTATTGTAGTCATCTAACAACCGGTTTGATCTGCTCGGTCAGGTTGTAACGCGCTATATACTACACATGTCTCTCTGTACAGTATCTCAACTTTACCTCCTCCCTTTATGACGTATCACAAACAATAGCTTAAATGCATAAGGAGAGAACAGTTGCTGGGCTGGTCTATTGTTAATATAACCGGGGGCACGTGCGCAGTGGTTCAGAGGTATTGTTGGGTAGAGGGGTGGGTATGGGGGTGCTGCAGTGCAGAAATTTATCGCGGAAAAAGAGAACAGCTGAAAAAAAAAATTTTCTCCGAAATTTATGTGACATAATTAGGAAGCCAAATGTTTGTTTAACTGTATATTAACTATGTATATTAACTCAGCAAGACAAGGAGCTTGCACCCCAAGCAGTATTGAGGTTAACTCAATAAATTGAATATGCTCGAGGTGTATAAATATTTAAAAACATATAAATATAATATATCGAATTATTAAAAATACACGTACGTTGTACGTGGGACTAGAATTGTCCAGGAGAATTAATTTAAAAGTACTACAGGTTACCTGCAGCGATCACATTTAATAGTCTCTCTCTCTTTACTTGATAAAGTTGTCTCTAAATGATGTCTGGTGACGTATGTGCTATACACAATTCCACAAGTCCTAGTTGGACCAGTACTACTCTAAAGCAACACGCTGCTACTCAATTTGCAAGTATATAAAGTATATATATATGCAGCTTGCTAAAAGATGAAATCACCCCCAAAACTGCAATATTGTACTGCATTTTTAAGACTGCGGAGATAAGCATTGTTGGTAATAGTTGTAAGTACTTTGACATTGTCAACATATTGATTTTAAAGATGACTTTCAAGAGTCCAGAGTCCAGACTCTAGGCTACCATGAACACTACTCCTTTAAGACTATTTACTCCGTTTATTTCAGTAAGTGAAAACAACTCGGAACTTGTGTAGAAACTCTGTCTGACTACGAATCTCAAACAACCACACAGAGCTGGCTGTCTGGATTTTATATATAAAGTTTAAGATGACAAATTAATCTTAAAACCTCACACCAGGAATACAAATGTGTTAAACTGACTTGACCTCCTGATATTCGAGTGGTGCACGACTTGTAGAAACCAACAAAAACGTACCATCGTAAACGATGCAGGTATTTTACAAATGTTATATTTGTGATAAAAAGTAAATGTCGTTTTAATCTATTTAGAATTCAGATCGAACCATCAAAAATCATGACATAATAATTCATATAACGACTAAAAATAGATACTTCACACTCCACTACCAATGTAAAGGATGATCACTGCCCCTATAACGTCATCTTATTACAACAAATTACAGATGTAGGGACTGCGCTCAATCCCAATTCCGTCCGAGTGGAAACTTAATCGAATTATGGACGGTAACTTTGGTTACACGTTTTTTGTATCAGAGGTGGTACTTCTGAACGGGGGACGAGTCGGGTAATTGTAAGTTCATTAGCCAATGAGCGGAGAGAGATGGGAGTGCGAGAACCAATCAAATGAGAGGACTAGGAGTGCGAGAGCCAATCAAATGAGAGGACTGGGAGTGAGAGAACCAATCAAATGAGAGGACTGGGAGAACCAAATCAAATGAAAGATTTGAAATACAGCGAGCATAGAGATGCAAGAGTTTTGAAATTTAATTGCAAGAAATTTTGCGGTTCCGTCAATCAGGAACAAAACCTCGTACAATAAGGAAAGCCAAATGTTCACTTTGCGAAGTGATGATTCTGTCTTCTGACTTTCCGATTGACCGACGCATTCTCCGCTCACGTATAGTATACTGATACATGTTTCACCTGACTTTATAATATACCGCTCTTCTTGATAGAACGCTCAGATCATCTACTAAGCTACTCATCCCAGGATTTTAGCGGTCTATAGCCAGCATGTGCAGACAGTAACTAGGTTAACAGATTTAAAGGTTTGTCGTACCCATGATATAAAGTGTGATTCTGTTATTCATTCATTCTACGAGAGGCTAGATCAAGCGCGGATGGGGATATATGAGAGGATATTATTTGGATTTTTGCGTACCTCTACTTTAAGGGTTTGGTAACAATAAGGTTAAGTATAGTCTATACAATTAGAAAAGGGATTGCCGGGGATATATCACTACTATTGTATATTATATATCACTACTACTAGTACTACTACTATATACTATACTACACTACTACTACTACTATATACTATACTACACTACTACTACTACTATATACTATACTACACTACTACTACTACTATATACTACTACCTATATATACTACACTACTACTACTACTATATACTATACTACACTACTACTGCTACTATATATAGTACAGTGCAGGGAATCGGAGGAGAAGTAACAAATGGTGCGAGAACGAGGGTGCCAGGGAGTTACGATTTGGTGGATATTGGAAAATGAAAATTAATTTTTTAGTCATGGTTTCTGATCGCTGATTGACAAACTCGAGGAAAGTAACATCTGTTAACTATGACAAACAAAAAAGGGCTGAAAGTAAATGAAATGGTGCACAAAAACCATCGCAGCCTACCATGAGCCACAGGTGAGCACATTCTGACGAATTGTTAAATCACCCGACCGGTCCTTTTAACGCTGACCCTGTTTTCCTGCCAAATAATAAAGTAAAGATAAAATAAAGATAAGTAAGGCTAAAGTGGTGTGGAACTGGCCGGTCCACTGACCAACAGACAGACAGTTCTAACTCGATGTACTTGTGTGAAGCACCTCACTTTTCAACAACCAACTTAAATCAATTCACAGCTGCTGATGGATGTGCACTGAGCCCGTATAGCGGGTTATAAACACCACATTTCTTCAATTAGGCTTCTGACGTAGGAGACCGTCAGGTCTGACGAGGAATTGATTTGCAACATATGTTTTTTGTAAACTGTATAGACATATGTTTTTTATGAACATATAAACACATATGTTTCTTTATAAACATGTAAACACATATGTTTTTTATGAACATATAAACACATCTTCCGGCGTGCTCATATATTGACGTTGCGTTTAATAGAAACTCTTCTTTTTAGGATAATGTATCAGTTTTAAGTTCAACCAAAACCAACAAACTGGCACCAGTATTTGTGTCAGAAAAATACAATTTAATAATTAAAAGTGTTACTGCATTATATACTACACAAGCTCATAACATTTAGATAAAATGAAACAGATTCGTTTAATAATTTGTACAATGTATTTCACATATCTTTACAAATAATAAGCATTTTACTAGCGTGGTTACTAACAATTAATTGTTATATGTACATACCATTAAAAATATTCTAGTTTCTACAGAGGGCAAAACTGTATCACCGATGATATTTTTGTACACACATAATTTAATTAATGTATTTATGGTCATTTAATGAAATTAAGGTTTTACGAAGATGATCCTTTATCGTGCCATAATTGTAGATCACAGACATTTCTTTGGATTTAAAGTTCAAGATCCTTAATCACATGTGACATGATGATTTCAAAATACAAAATATACCATGAATACCATTTTCTACAATAACCCTGTTGTACTTGGGTGGGATCTCAAATTGTCCCTTGAGTAAAGTTAAAATAAAAAACGTTAGAAATATCAGTCTGCTGATTCAATTAATGAATACTCTGATCAAATGGTTGGAATCATGCTATACAGAGTATGTTGTGACGTTTTTTGGAGTTAAGTTTCACTAGGAAAATAAGGCTGTAGTCATTTGTAGTACCGAGCACTATAATCACTTACCATGACAGTATGATAGTAATTTCGGAAGAGCTATATTCAACAGAAATAGATAAATTGTCAATCGAATCTGAAGTTAAGGAATAAGTATTCTAATTTCTATGAAAATATTTTGTCTAACAGGCATGACAAAGATTAATCAATCAGCTTCCAGCATCGACCAATGAAAGGCCAGAATCACAGTAACGTGCAACCTATTAACTTATTACCTATTTAACTAATAAACTGATTAATGTTTCTCCAACCAGTTCTATTTGATCATTTGATCAGTATTATCATTTCAACTGGGTTGATAAACTTTCCAGAAAATAGATGATGAATTGAGATGAATAAACGGATAAAATGAACGGTAGGGTATCCAGCGTCCAATTAATGTCTGTTAAAATAAAGTCCGATAAGGTATTACATTTACATAACTATGATTTATTACTTGCTTTAATTTTAACAGTTAAGTGCTTAAACTGTAATTGTATACCAAAATTTCTCTTATCTTATTACTCTAATCTAATTTATGGTTAGATGTGGAATATTAATTTCTCACCACTCGATGGCATTAGTTATCGACGCATTTTCCCCCCAATATTTATATTTTGCCATGTTTTAGCTCGATGAACCAGATTGAATTGAGACAATCTATTGTGGAGGAATACGTTTTTGGATTATTCTAATTCTACATGAACTGACATTAAATTTACTTTTACCTAGAAAGATGGTGCCACTATTAATACTTCTGCTATCCCTCTACCATTCCTCCACTTGCTCCTTCACAAAGAACATCCTTGTCACAACACCCTGGAGAGGCGGACACTTCGCCTACCTTCTAAACATTGCAGCTACTCTGGCTGATTCCGGACATAATGTGACTTTCCTAGCTCTGCTTCACGATCCAGACATTCCGGTGCCCAGGAATATCCGGTATCTGGTGCCGACCAATATTTCTCAGGATATCAGAGGTTTGAAGTACTTGAATGAAGTTGCGGTGAAATCAGGTGCTTTGGATGGTTCTTCTGATAAACTTATCAGCAGGAGCATAACAGGAAACTCGGTGATCTTAGGAGAAACTCTCAAACAAATAAAACTACGATTTGATTATTTCTTCGGGGTTGAAATGATGGGTATGATGGAAAACACACAATTTGATCTGGTTGTTGTAGAGGAAACCATCTTCCACCCTATCGCGGTGATAGCACGAAAACACAGCATACCCTTGGTGACAGCAATATCTGTGGTGGACCAGCAGAGAGCGAAACATGAGCAGAACCTTCCAGCACTTCTAACCAGTGAGGCTTCACAGTTTCTCAACATTCAGGGATCAATACCTCCCACTTTCTTGCAAAGAATTCAACTCTTTGTGGAGCTCGGAAGTTTCGTTTTTAATTTAGTTCCTGGAATTATGAACATTATGGCTGGGTATTTGGCGGAAGAAGGGTTGATTGGACTGACTGATTTGGATAATATGACTCAGCTGTATCTAGTGAACGATCATCCGGCTTTATCTTTTCCATACTTAAGGGCGCCCAATTCTCTCAACATAGCTGGAATAGGATTAAAGAATCCATCTGAACCATTAGGTAGTGACGTATCAAAGTTCGTGGAATCAGCCAAGAAACGAGGAAAGCACATAATCTACGTAAATCTTGGAACCTTAGCTTTTTCGCTCGACCATTACCAATCAATGTTTGGGGAAGAATTCTTTGAGACACTACAAAAATCAGATGATGCAGTGATAATAGTGCGCAGTGACGTAGAATACTCTAATCATGCAAACGTCCTCTCAAAATCCTGGCTCCCCCAGCGAGCGCTGCTAGCAAGCTCCACTGTATCGCTGTTTGTATCTTCCTGTGGAAACAATGCCAAGATCGAATCGGTCCTTCACAAAGTACCCTTGTTGTGCATTCCACTGTTCACCGACCAGTATTTCAACTCTCTTCTCGTCAAAAGGAATCATTTTGGAGAGATGCTGCTGAAAGAAGATTTCTCTCATGAGGCATTGGAGCAGATGGTTACACAAATGTTAGAGAATCAAAAGAAGTACATTGAAAGTCTGCACGCTGGGTCCTCTGCTGTTTTACTAAATCCAGCCACACCGGGAGATAATTTAGTTTTTCATTGCAATCATCTAATGGAGTTCGGGAATCTCAACTTTTTGAGGAATGAAGTGATCGGCCGACAAACTACTGTAGAGATTTACAATATTGACATTCTGGCAGCTATATTTGTTGCTTTTCTAGCGGCTTTAATTTTCGTGTGGACCATTGGAAAAAAGGTGGTTAATTTTGGGTGGACTTATTTTAAGAAGACTCAAGGAACCGGGATAGTTAGAGAGAAAAGAGAGTAATTAATTTGGGCTTGTATTTAAAAACCATTATTTAACTTAAGTAATGGGTAAACTAAATTACATTTTAAGGGTAAATTATGATTTTTAGGTTGAAAGAATAAATGGAATATTGATTATGTAGCATTCAATTTTATTTGGAAATATGAGATTGCAGATCAATTTTTGGAGTTGTGGGAATCTAGGAATATGTTTCTCAGATGTTTTACTTTGTTTTCAGCACCTACACGTTTCTCACTCTTGTTTGATCATTGATTACCTTGAATTCGGGTAGCACACGTGTCGGTTTACCCGACAAAGGTGAACATTGTTCGTAGAAACTAGTAAATAGCCCTTTTCTGCGACACAAAAAGAGCGTTCGAAACAATGCTGCAAATACATTTCAATTCATAACCTATTTTCTGGAAAGTCTATTAAGGCAGTGGGAATGAAAATACTGTTTTAAAAATGCTCGATAATTTGTTAATTAGTAAAAATTATTCTGAGCTTTCATTGGTTTATGCTTGAAGCTAATTGATTAATCTGTTAGACAAAATATTGTCATAGAAATTAGAACACCTCAAATGCTAATGATAATTTGTGCACTTTAGTTGAATATAGCTAAGTTATTATAGTGCTCGGTACTACAAATTATGATTAAATAATTTTTCTGGTGAAACTTAACGCCAAAAAAATGTCACGAGATACACGATAGAGCATAGTTCCAACTTCCAACTATTTGATCAGAGTATTAGGTAATTGGGTCAGCAGACTGATATTTCCTGTGTGTTTTTATTTTCACTTTACTCAACAGACAACTTGAGCTCACGCCCAAGTACAACCATACCAGGAACGTTCTAGAAAACGTTATTCATGATATAATTCGTATCATGTGATCCAGGATTTTGAAAGTTGAATCCAAAGAAATGTCTGTGATCTACAATGGCATGATAAGATCATGTTCTTAGGGTATACCATGACTATAGATTACACATCAAATACTAAAAGTAAAGCATTTATTAGTTTCTCAGCTCGGAGATTTAATCAGCAGTTTATCGAAAATAGTGCACGTTTTATTTCTTAACTTTGAGGTTATCAATCGCTAATCGTACCTGATTGGTGATGCGGCTTTGGATTTTGTTAATTCTATTCTGCCTTGTTGTCGATGTAGGCTCGTGGAGAAGACGTAGAAGACGAAGAAGGACCCCATCATGTAAGTGCAAACCAATCTCAGTAGATATGTCAAATTTTATTGCTCCTAATTTAAAATCATCCCAACATATACATTGCAAACTGTCTTTATAAAACCGTTGATAATTGAATATTAAAGATCGGTTGGGAAACGTTTGAATTGAGTATATAGGTGATAGGATCACTGTTTAGCTTATCCCTGAAAAGCTAAAAACCTAATCAAAATAATTAGCAGATTATCTATATACGGTCATTTGATGAAATCGAAATATCTGATATGATCACCTAGGCTATGCAAGGAATGGAGGATGGGGTGGCTGGGGTGGTTGGAGCAGTTGTTCCTGTAACCATGTTACTGGTACTGGTACTTGGACTCGCTCCAGATCCTGCAACAGTCCTACTCCATACTGTGGTGGCAGGTTCGGTAAAATTCATCGTTAACGATTCGATCATTGAATAATGTTTCTACGCAGAAAAATATCATTGGTACCTCAATCATTAAAAACTAAATGCTTTGTGACTTGGTCTAATGAAGCCAAAGATTCCTTTGCTGAAATATCAATGCATTGGTGATGTTAACCAAAATATCCAACAGCGGTTGTCCAGGTTCGTCCATTATGACGGGAAGTTGTGACAGTCAGTGTTGTCGTATCACTAACGGAGCCTGGTCTGGATGGGGCGGTTGGAGTAGTTGTTCCTGTAACCATGCCACCGGTACTGGTACTTGGACTCGCTCCAGATCTTGCAACAGTCCTGCTCCTTCTTGTGGTGGCAGGTTAGCATCTTTGAACTATCTTAAGTTCTTCAAATCAACATTTTTCAAAACGTTCCATGATGGTGAAATTTAAAGTTTAATCTGATTAGAAGTTTGAAGACTTTAGTGAATTATAATCTTAACGACTTCTCAACCCACAGTTCATGTCCGGGATCCGCCTCAATGTCAGGGAGTTGTGACAGTCAGTGCTGTAAGACAGTGCACGGAGGATTTTCTAACTGGGGTAGCTGGGGAACCTGTTCCTGTAACCACGCTCTTGGTACAGGAACTTGGTCTAGATCTAGATCTTGTACCAGTCCTTCTCCTTCTTGTCATGGCAATTCTTGCGTTGGGAGCGTTAGGGATACAGGACCTTGTGACAGTCAGTGTTGTCGTATCACTAACGGAGCCTGGTCTGGATGGGGCGGTTGGAGTAGTTGTTCCTGTAACCATGCCACCGGTACTGGTACTTGGACTCGGTCCAGATCTTGCAACAGTCCTACTCCTTCTTGTGGTGGCAGGTTAGCATCTTTGAATTATCCTAAGTTCTTCAAATCTAAATTGTTTCAAAACTTTCCATGGTGGTGATATAAAGTTTAATCTGATTAGAAATTTGAAGACTTTAGTGAATTAAATCGTAACGACTTCTCAACCCACAGTTCATGTCCGGGATCTGCCTCAATGTCAGAGAGTTGTGACAGTCAGTGCTGTATGACAGTGCACGGAGGGTTTTCTAACTGGGGTAGCTGGGGAACCTGTTCCTGTAACCACGCTCTTGGTACAGGAACTTGGTCTAGATCCAGATCTTGTACCAGCCCTTCTCCTTCTTGTCGTGGCAATTCTTGCGTCGGGAGCGTTAGGGATACAGGAAGTTGTGACAGTCAGTGTTGTCGTATCACTAACGGAGCCTGGTCTGGATGGGGCGGTTGGAGCAGTTGTTCCTGTAACCATGCCACCGGTACTGGTACTTGGACTCGCTCCAGATCTTGCAACAGTCCTGCTCCTTCTTGTGGTGGCAGGTTAGCATCTTTGAACTATCCTAATTATTTCAAAACTTTCCATAATGGTGACATAAAGTTAAATCTGATTAGAATTTTGAAGACCTTAGTGAATTAAAATAGCAACGACTTCTCAACCCACAGTTCATGTCTGGGATCTGCCTCAATGTCAGGGAGTTGTGACAGTCAGTGCTGTATGACAGTGCACGGAGGGTTTTCTAACTGGGGTAGCTGGGGAACCTGTTCCTGTAACCACGCTCTTGGTACAGGAACTTGGTCTAGATCCAGATCTTGTACCAGTCCTTCTCCTTCTTGTCATGGAAATTCTTGCGTTGGGAGCGTTAGGGATACAGGAAGTTGTGACAGTCAGTGTTGTCGTATCACTAACGGAGCCTGGTCTGGTTGGGGCGGTTGGAGTAGTTGTTCCTGTAACCATGCCACCGGTACTGGTACTTGGACTCGCTCCAGATCTTGCAACAGTCCTGCTCCTTCTTGTGGTGGCAGGTTAGCATCTTTGAACTATCCTAATTATTTCAAAACTTTCCATAATGGTGACATAAAGTTAAATCTGATTAGAATTTTGAAGACCTTAGTGAATTAAAATAGCAACGACTTCTCAACCCACAGTTCATGTCTGGGATCTGCCTCAATGTCAGGGAGTTGTGACAGTCAGTGCTGTATGACAGTGCACGGAGGGTTTTCTAACTGGGGTAGCTGGGGAACCTGTTCCTGTAACCACGCTCTTGGTACAGGAACTTGGTCTAGATCCAGATCTTGTACCAGTCCTTCTCCTTCTTGTCATGGAAATTCTTGCGTTGGGAGCGTTACGGATACGGGAAGTTGTGACAGTCAGTGCTGTAAGTCTCTTATTGAAAGTTTTGTACACCATAAATCATCCTTGTACATTTTCTGTAGCTTTCTCCACTATAACAAGTATAATCAAATAAATGTTCACGAGGAGTGAAGATCATTTAATTATTTCATAAGATGTTTATGTCTGGTATACTTAGTAAATGTTAAATGTATAGCCGAATTCAATGACTAACTGAATTACAGGTCAAACAGTTGATGGAGGTCTTACAACTTGGGGTGATTGGAGTACGTGTGAGTGTGATCACACTACAGGAACAGGAACATGGAGCAAAATTAGATCTTGTACCAACCCGGCACCTTTCTGTTATGGAAGGTAAAGAACAAATTCTTGTTGGTTGTTTTCATAAAAACATCCAAGATGGAGTTGATTGTGTTTTTACTCCTTTGTTGTTAGCATTGTTTAAAATCTTTTTGGCATTTTTTTTAAATACCATAAAATGCAGTGATTGCGAAGGAGACCTAGTGGACAATGGTAGATGCGATGAACAATGCTGTAAGTCACTACTGTTATTACTTTTGTGATCTTGACAAAATTTGTATTCAAACAATTAATGGTAAAATTGCCCAGTATCTGTTTTCAAAACATACTAAAGAACGAAAGAAATAATAAACATTCAAACAGTTAAATTCCATTTCAATTTATAGATCGAATATCTCATTAAAAAGCATAATAAGTTTCAAACGATGAAAATGTTCAACAATTTCCTTTGCTGATGCTTTAATCCTAGGTCAAACAGTTGATGGAGGTCTTACGACTTGGGGTGATTGGAGTACGTGTGAGTGTGATCACACTACAGGAACAGGAACATGGAGCAGAATTAGATCTTGTACCAACCCGGCACCTTTCTGTTATGGAAGGTAAAGAACAAATTCTTGTTGGTTGTTTTCATAAAAACATCCAAGATGGAGTTGATTGTGTTCTTACTCCTTTGTTGTTAGCATTGTTTAAAATCTTTTTGGAATTTTTATAATACCATAAAATTCAGTGATTGCGAAGGAGACCTAGTGGACAATGGTAGATGCGATGAACAATGCTGTAAGTCACTACTGTTATTACTTTTGTGATCTTGACAAAATTTGTATTCAAACAATTGATGGTAAAATTGCCCAGTATCTGTTTTCAAAACATACTAAAGAACGAAGGAAATAAGAAACATTCAAACAGTTAAATTCCATTTCAATTTATAGTTCGAACATCTCATTAAAAAGCATAATAAGTTTCAAACGATGAAAATGTTCAATAATTTCCTTTGATAATGTTGTAATCCTAGGTCAAACAGTTGATGGAGGTCTTACGACTTGGGGAAACTGGAGTACGTGTGAGTGTGATCACACTACAGGAACAGGAACATGGAACAGAACTAGATCTTGTACCAACCCGGCACCTTTCTGTTATGGAAGGTAAAGAACAAATTCTTGTTGGTTGTTTTCATAAAAACATCCAAGATGGAGTTGATTGTGTTCTTACTCCTTTGTTGTTAGCATTGTTTAAAATCTTTTTGGCATTTTTATAATACCATACAATTCAGTGATTGTGAAGGAGACCTAGTGGACAATGGTAGATGCGATGAACAATGCTGTGAGTTTGAAAACATATCTATTTATAATATTAATGATGAAATTACCCAGGACGTTTGTCAAATCTGTGAGTTACTACTCATTTGTAATCTTAACAAAATTAGTATTCAAACAATTGCCCAGTGTCCGTATTCGTGATATACTTGAAGAACGAAGGAAAAGATACAAATTTAAACGGATAAATCTCATTTAAATTTATGGTTCGAACATCGAATTAGAAGACAATAGTTTAGAACGATGACGTCCAACAATTTCCTTTGTTGATGCTTTAATCCTAGGTCAAACAGTTGATGGAGGTCTTACAACTTGGGGAAACTGGAGTACGTGTGAGTGTGATCACACTACAGGAACAGGAACATGGAACAGAACTAGATCTTGTACCTACCCGGTACCTTTCTGTTATGGAAGGTAGTTTTACTGTTTGTATTCATTTCTCTTTTTTTAATTCTCTGATATATCAAAGCTATTTTTAAAATTTTGTTGCCTTAACTCAGTAATTAATAAATCCAAATGTCTATGGCCCTTCATATGGAAAATAAGAATAATGAAACATCATGAAATTCAGTGATTGCGTAGGAGACTTATTGGACAATGGTAGATGTGATAACCAATGCTGTGAGTTTGAAAACATTTCTATTTATAGGATTAATGGTGAAATATTACCCATACCAATACGTTTATCCAAGACATGCCAAAAAACTATGAACGAATTTAAATGTTATAAATGCGATTTACAATTGTAAAAGATTTCCTTTGCTGGTGCTTTAATCTTTTAATCTTAGGTCAAACAGTTGATGGAGGTCTTACAACTTGGGGTGACTGGAGTACGTGTGAGTGTGATCACACTACAGGAACAGGAACATGGAACAGAACTAGATCTTGTACCAACCCGGCACCTTTCTGTTATGGAAGGTAAAAATAAAACTTCGTCTAAAGGCAGCATGTTTTGAGATCTTTGCAAAAATAAAATACTTAAATTAAAGTTGCTTTGGAAAAAACTAAAGTACCAAACCACTTCAGGGACTGTGTAGGCGATCTTACAGACGAAGGAACTTGTGATGATCAGTGCTGTAAGTCAACATATTTTATATTTAGATCAATTAAAAACAAAACAGACGGTGATAAAGGAATGCTTACCTGGGGACCCCACGCTTGAAATGAAGCGTAAAAAGAAATTGTTTCAGGTGTAACTGTAGAAGGGGGTTGGACTGATTGGGAGTATTGGAGTACGTGTGAGTGTGATCACACTACAGGAACAGGAACATGGAACAGAACTAGATCTTGTACCGACCCGGCACCTTCTTGTCATGGAAGGTGATTATCGACACGAAATCCCAGTTATGAAATAAGTTATAATTTATAATTTACTGTAAATATCTATCTATCGTTACAACTGTTACACCATACTTGTACCATTTTGATGTGTGCATCTATCTTTCGTAAATACGACAGGTATGTCGTAGTCGTACGAGGGCCAATTTACGACAGGTATAATGTATATCGCGTTACAAGCACATTTTTTATGTCAAATGTTTGATTTTATGAGGAAATATGCTCCGTGCAGATATTATTATTATAAGATAGTAAGCACTTTAACTCCTCATTTGATTTCAGTGACTGTACTGGTCATCAACTAGAAAACGGCACCTGTCACCATCTTTGCTGTAAGTTCTTGATTTTGTTAAATTTTAATCACACTATGATTATTATCACACTATATTTTATTGTATTCACTTCGTTTACCGTCACTTTATAATCACTTTATTATTATCATTATTTATACATTTAGATCTGATCTTTGGATAGCTATAACTAATGGTGAAAGTTTGAATTTGAAAGGTTTCTGCAAATATCCTTAATCTAGATACTTATTTTACTTCGGTTTATCCAAACAGCCATATGATTACAATGTGACCGCTCACCTTCAGTAGCCGATGGTACAATAACAATTAAGCAAGTGTCGGTTAAGAAAGTGTATTCCATACTTTATTCGCCCGAGGCTTTGCTGCGATGGGCAGCTGCTTATTTAACTGTCAATAACGGTTTCCCGATCGTTCGGCCGAGTCAGCCGAGGAAAATTTGCTTAGATTTAACAGAATCTTAAGCTCACTCCCTAGAAATAGAATAGGCACTGCCAGAATGCCAACGGAAACTATTACTTTACAGTTAATTGTCAATTAGTCGAAGTTTACGATTTTCCTTAAATATTGTTTTTGTAATTTTTTTAAAAAGGTGTTAAGAAGAAATACAGAAATTGGAAAATTTTCTCAAAAATTTGCAACACAAGAGCCATGCATTAATTTTGCCTGGATCACATTTTCGGCGTCTTTTTGTTTAGCGATATTTTGCTCGTTTCAAAAACGTTTCCATAAATTCTGCCGCCAAATTCGCGGACGTATTTTTAAATATAATTTTAAATATGTTGTAGATATCCGATTTCTTGATAAAATCAAATCTCAATTTGTAAAATATTACTTTTTCAAGACATAAAACTCAAATCTCGATGAACATTCTCACGAAGATATTCGAAAAAGATGAAATTGAGAGGAAAGTGATTCAATGACTTATCCATGCAAATGCAACAGGTCACAATGTAGATGGAGGATGGACTAATTGGGGAAACTGGAGTACGTGTGAGTGTGATCACACTACAGGAACAGGAACATGGAACAGAACTAGATCTTGTACCAACCCGGCACCTTTCTGTTATGGAAGGTAGTTTTAACTTTTGTGCGTATGTTTTTTAATCGGATTCATAATTCATGATTGATTCATACTTTCATAACAGTGAACGTTCAACGTAAACTATCAGAACACCAAAATATTTACATAACTTTGCGAACATTTCAGTGACTGTGAAGGAGAAATAAACAATAATGGAACATGTGATGATCAGTGCTGTAAGTACACACAATCAAACTAAAGATACTATAACTGACCACGCAATCTTGAGTCAGTTGTGGAGCACCAACGTGTAACAACCAAATACATTCTCCTGATTCCTGAACATTAATCGTATGTGCAGTTTTAAGATACTTGGACTTTAATAATATTATTTATTGTTAAGTAAGCAACAAAATGATTTTTTTCATTTTCAGGTCAAACTGTGGACGGAGATTGGACTGATTGGGGAAACTGGAGTACGTGTGAGTGTGATCACACTACAGGAACAGGAACATGGAACAGAACTAGATCTTGTACCAACCCGGCACCTTTCTGTTATGGAAGGTAATGTTATGCATCGTTTTTAACTCGGATTGATAATTCATTCATGATTATTTCATGATTTATTCATGATTATTGGTTCATAACATTTAACGTTCAACGTAAAACTATCATAGCACCAATACATAACTTTGCGAACATTTCAGTGACTGCGAAGGAGAAATAAACAATAATGGAACATGTGATGATCAGTGCTGTAAGTACACACAATCAAACTAAAGATACTATAACTGATCCCAATCTTGATTCTGTTGTTGAGCAATTAAAGACCATTCTACTGAATATTAATTATGAAAGAAGCAAATTTTAGGTAAACAGACCTTTACGAAAATATCATTGATAAGTAAAGAAATGGTTAATATTGTCACTCTTGTTTTCAGGTAAAACTGTGGACGGAGATTGGACTGATTGGGGAAACTGGAGTACGTGTGAGTGTGATCACACTACAGGAACAGGAACATGGAACAGAACTAGATCTTGTACCAACCCGGCACCTTTCTGTTATGGAAGGTAGTTTTTAAGTTTTATGCCTAGATTTTTAACTCGGATTCATTATTCATTCATGATACTTTCATGATTTATTCATGGTTATTGGTTCATAACATTTAACGTTCAACGTAAAACTATCATAGCACCAATACATAACTTTGCGAACATTTCAGTGACTGCGAAGGAGAAATAAACAATAATGGAACATGTGATGATCAGTGCTGTAAGTACACACAATCAAACTAAAGATACTATAACTGACCCCAATCTTTATTCAGTTGTTGAGCAATTAAATACCATTCTACTGAATATTAATTATGAAAGAAGCAAATTTTAGGTAAACAGACCTTTACGAAAATATCATTGATCAGTAAAGAAATGATTAATATTGTCATTCTTGTTTTCAGGTCAAACTGTGGACGGAGATTGGACTGATTGGGGAAACTGGAGTACTTGTGAGTGTGATCACACTACAGGAACAGGAACATGGAACAGAACTAGATCTTGTACCAACCCGGCACCATTCTGTTATGGAAGGTAGTTTTATGCATCGTTTTTTAAAACTCGGATTCATAATTCATTCATGATTATTTCATGATTCATTCATGGTTATTGATTCATAACATTTAACAGTTTAACGTTCAACGTAAAACTATCATAGCACCAATACATAACTTTGCGAACATTTCAGTGACTGCGAAGGAGAAATAAACAATAATGGAACATGTGATGATCAGTGCTGTAAGTACACATAATCAAACTAAAGATACTATAACTGACCCCAATCTTGATTCAGTTGTTGAGCAATTAAAGACCATTCTACTGAATATTAACTTTGAAAGAAGCAAATTTTAGGTAATCAGACCTTTACGAAAATATCATTGATAAGTCAAGAAATGGTTAACATTGTCATTCTTGTTTTCAGGTCAAACTGTGGACGGAGATTGGACTGATTGGGGAAACTGGAGTACGTGTGAGTGTGATCACACTACAGGAACAGGAACATGGAACAGAACTAGATCTTGTACCAACCCGGCACCTTTCTGTTATGGAAGGTAATTTTATGCATAGATTTTTAACTCGGATTCATTATTCATTCATGATACTTTCATGATTTATTCATGATTATTGGTTCATAACATTTAACGTTCAACGTAAAACTATCATAGCACCAATTTCAGTGACTGCGAAGGAGAAGTAAACAATAATGGAACATGTGATGATCAGTGCTGTAAGTACACACAATCAAACTAAAGATACTATAACTGCTGACCCCAATCTTGATTCAGTTGTTGAGCAATTAAAGACCATTCTACTGAATATTAACTTTGAAAGAAGCAAATTTTAGGTAAACAGACCTTTACGAAAATATCATTGATAAGTCAAGAAATGGTTAACATTGTCATTCTTGTTTTCAGGTCAAACTGTGGACGGAGATTGGACTGATTGGGGAAACTGGAGTACGTGTGAGTGTGATCACACTACAGGAACAGGAACATGGAACAGAACTAGATCTTGTACCAACCCGGCACCTTTCTGTTATGGAAGGTAATTTTATGCATCGTTTTTAACTCGGATTCATTATTCATTCATGATACTTTCATGATTTATTCATGGTTATTGGTTCATAACATTTAACGTTCAACGTAAAACTATCATAGCGCCAATACATAACTTTGCGAACATTTCAGTGACTGCGAAGGAGAAATAAACAATAATGGAACATGTGATGATCAGTGCTGTAAGTACACACAATCAAACTAAAGATACTATAACTGATCTCAATCTTTATTCAGTTGTTGAGCAATAAAAGACCATTCTACTGAATATTAATTATGAAAGAAGCAAATTTTAGGTAAACAGACCTTTACGAAAATATCATTGATAAGTAAAGAAATGGTTAATATTTTCATTCTTGTTTTCAGGTCAAAATGTGGACGGAGATTGGACTGATTGGGGAAACTGGAGTACGTGTGAGTGTGATCACACTACAGGAACAGGATTATGGAACAGAACTAGATCTTGTACCAACCCGGCACCTTTCTGTTATGGAAGGTAATTTTATGCATAGATTTTTAACTCGGATTCATTATTCATTCATGATACTTTCATGATTTATTCATGATTATTGGTTCATAACATTTAACGTTCAACGTAAAACTATCATAGCACCAATTTCAGTGACTGCGAAGGAGAAGTAAACAATAATGGAACATGTGATGATCAGTGCTGTAAGTACACACAATCAAACTAAAGATACTATAACTGACCCCAATCTTGATTCTGTTGTTGAGCAATTAAAGACCATTCTACTGAATATTAATTATGAAAGAAGCAAATTTTAGGTAAACAGACCTTTACGAAAATAAAGTTGATAAGTAAAGAAATGGTTAATATTTTCATTCTTGTTTTCAGGTCAAACTGTGGACGGAGATTGGACTGATTGGGGAAACTGGAGTACGTGTGAGTGTGATCACACTACAGGAACAGGAACATGGAACAGAACTAGATCTTGTACCAACCCGGCACCTTTCTGTTATGGAAGGTAGTTTTATGCATCGTTTTTAACTCGGATTGATAATTCATTCATGATTATTTCATGATTTATTCATGATTATTGGTTCATAACATTTAACGTTCAACGTAAAACTATCATAGCACCAATACATAACTTTGCGAACATTTCAGTGACTGCGAAGGAGAAATAAACAATAATGGAACATGTGATGATGAGTGCTGTAAGTACACATAATCAAACTAAAGATACTATAACTGATCCCAATCTTGATTCAGTTGTTGAGCAATTAAAGACCATTCTACTGAATATTAATTATGAAAGAAGCAAATTTTAGGTAAACAGACCTTTACGAAAATATCATTGCTAAGTAAAGAAATGGTTAATATTGTCATTCTTGTTTTCAGGTCAAACTGTGGACGGAGATTGGACTGATTGGGGAAACTGGAGTACGTGTGAGTGTGATCACACTACAGGAACAGGAACATGGAACAGAACTAGATCTTGTACCAACCCGGCACCTTTCTGTTATGGAAGGTAATTTTATGCATCGTTTTTAACTCGGATTCATTATTCATTCATGTTTATTGATTCATAACAGTTAACGTCAGAACACCAAAATTGTGACATAACCTAATGAACATTTCAGTGACTGCGAAGGAGCAGTTATCAATAATGGAACTTGCAATGATCAGTGCTGTAAGTAAATTCGATCAAACTATAAAGGACCCTGATCTAAATTTGTGTGACACATCATTTTACAAATGTACGTTCTGTTAAAAATCTTCCAGATCAACTTAGATTAAAATCCAGTTTTCAAGATACATAAACTTTTTAAAAAATATCGAACTATAAATAAGTCAACAATAACATGATTTAATTCCTATAACTATTTTCAGGTAAAACTGTGGTCGGAAACTGGAGCCATTGGGGAAACTGGAGTACGTGTGAGTGTGATCACACTACAGGAACAGGAACATGGAACAGAACTAGATCTTGTACCAACCCGGCACCTTTCTGTTATGGAAGGTAGTTTTACTGTTGAAATTTATTTTTTAGACCACGAATTGTCGAAGGATTCTTAATTCATTATAGTTCATTTATAATTCTTTCATGACTATTCATTCATAATGAGTTTAACTTTCAACTTTAAACATGAAACTACCAAAAAACCAAAACAATGAACATTCCAGTGACTGCGAGGGAAACGTTAAGGACAATGGAACATGCGATGATCAGTGTTGTAAGTACATACAATCAAATGTAGGGCAAAATCTTGGTATTGGTGGAATACCACGTTGTAAATCTAAAAAGGCAAAAAAAAATTCTTATGCTGAAAATTATTTCAATCAACTACGATTCAGGAACAATTTTCATGATACATGAACTAAAATATCACTTGATAAGTCGACAAAATATAATTCATTTTCATTATTTTTCAGGTCAAACTGTGAACGGAAATTGGACTGATTGGGGAAACTGGAGTACGTGTGAGTGTGATCACACTACAGGAACAGGAACATGGAACAGAACTAGATCTTGTACCAACCCGGCACCTTTCTGTTATGGAAGGTATGGATATCTAAGGTTTCAAGACGATCGTTTTTTCTCTATTTCAAGTCAATCATTTGCTGTTTGCATCGTTTTGTAATTGTCTAAAACCTAGAGTTATAATTCTTTTATCATACAGCAACTGTGAAGGAGACTTGGTTGATAATGGAACATGTCATGATTCATGCTGTGAGTAAGATATAGATATCCCTTCATATATTTTGTAACAGTTAAAATCGCGTGATTCTTTAGGTTAATCCAAAAAAGGTGTATATTATGCTAAACAAGGATGGTAAATGCGTTTTGGGGAGACTACGCGTAGGTACTACGCATACGTATTTCCCGATGATAAATTACGTATTTCAAATTAAGTTGCAGTAACGCGCGAAGATCTATATATGAATATTACATTACAGTATATGGAATCGTGGCCTAATTGGTTAATACGCTAACTCCGTATCAGCAGATTGCGAGTTCGAGACTCGGATAGGATCATTTTTTCCCATACTTTTTGGCAATTATGAATAACTAATGAATAACTAAAAATACCTCTGTAATATAACTAGCAAGGTGAAATGAAATCGTCATCCGGCCGAAAAATTTATTATAGCCGTTTTAAAAGTTTATTATAGCCGTTTTTTCTTTCCAGGCTGGATTCCTAGTCACTTTTTAAACTTATGCCACTGGGAAGTCCGTGTTAATCCGGTAACCGGTTTCAAAATTCAAGCAAGAGAGACTTGTGATCTTAGTCTGCGAATATTGTAATAGATAAAAATGCACTGGAACTGGGTCTCGGTTGAAAGTCTATTCCTCGAGGGAGGCATAACTGCTTTATAACCTGAGAAGCTCTGCTCTGCAGCAGACCGACTGATTGGTTGCAGTTCAGCATAAGAATAGCAAGTCGCTGCAGCGTTTTCATTCGAGCACCGTGAAGTCTCCAAAACGACTGTCAGTATTGCTATATTAATATACCACTGGGCCAGCGACGCACGCGCAAATATCACTAATCTGTAATCACGTATTTCGAAAGAGATACGCGCGTATTTTGAGAAATTTTACCATCAAAGAATTTAAGCGCCAAATTTTGCCTATTTTGTATTTCACGTATTTCTTAGAATTTTTGAATACGGCGTATTTACAGGCGATTTTTTGACGTATTTACCATCGATGATGCTAAATGCTAATTCATTGCGTCATAACCATGTTCTCGTAGAATATACTTTTGATCCTTATAGTTCTTCAAGCCCAAATATTTTTGTGATTTGTTATGAAAATGTTTTCATTTTTGTGTAAAATAAATTTCAGGCCAAACTGTAGACGGAATTTGGTCGGATTGGGGAAACTGGAGCAAATGCGAGTGTGATGGTGAAACAGAAACTAGAAATAGAACAAGAACATGTAACAATCCTTCGCCCAGTTGTTTTGGACGGTTAGTGAAAAATTTGAGTAACTGTAATGAGTTCAAATTTCTGATATGAATTAATATATTATTATATAAATTATGGTCGGTTTATTTCCATAAAGATCATTTATGAATCGGACGATTTTATGATCGTAATTTGGATGTTGTTTCAGGGAATGCGAGGGTGACACCGTACAAAATATATCCTGTGAGGGAAGTTGCAAAAGTAAGGTTATATTTAAATCTCGCTGATCGGTTCATAATTTACATATTCCAATAGATCTACTTACAAATTGAAGTACATAATTACAAACAAAAATTTATTAAAATAATGAGAAAAAAGGCTTAATCTTATCAATTTTTGCCTTTGAAGCTGAATGAAACCTTCACACATTAGTTTAAAGAATAATTATAACATTATGATTCAGAAATGGCAATTGTCAAATGGTTTGCAATAACATGGTATTGGTAACATAAAGGTTGAGGATTGAATGCAATCATGGTTTCAAATATGTAATTCCGTGCCATTTCCTCAAAAGGAATGCGACAAATTGTGCGATTCTGCAACCAACGCAAAAATATTGTGCTCTGACTTAACTCAATGATTAAATTTCGCAATGTACAAATAACGACTTCATTTCTTCAGGTATACTACCAGTTCTTTTGTCTGCAGACGGCCCGCTTGGACTTAGCAAACCCGTCCTGATCTTCATATGCTGTTTAATAGGTCTTCTCTGTACGGTTGTCGCTATCACAGCAGCGATGAAATACTCCTGGATAATGCAGATGAAACAAAAGAGAGTATCAGAGGAGACAACTGAAGAAGCCCTGCATTTGGGTTAGAAAATATTTTTATTTTGCAATTATCTATTGCTTTAGGTAGTTAGTGATTTTGACTAATTTCTTGGTCAACACAATGAAAGCAAACAAATTAGTCTTTGTCGTTCAGGACAATATTTTACTTTCCGTGCGGCGTGCCTATCATAATATAGGGGCTGGTTTTTACATCTTTTAAGTCATTCGATTAGTGGCGACCACTAGCCAAGTGCCAAATCTTGACTTTCTTTTACACCATGAGGGCACCATGGGCTTTGACAGGTTATATTACAAGAAAATATTAATGATGATAATACTATTTCTAGTGACAGAATTTCACTTCGAGACTCCAGAATCATCCCAAGGGATTTTGCTGCTTAATACCGTATCAAAAGTAGATCCAAGCATGGAAATTATTGGGCTGGAAAACGACTACATCGACTTCAATGGAGACACCAAAGAAGACGACTATATTGACTACACAGGGATTTGAGAATTTGGATAGTGCTCTTATGACAAAAACAATTACTTTTTTGGCTCTTTTTCTTTTATAACTTTGAAAAATGTTCTACAAAAACAACAATAACATGCAGCTTCAAACGGATAGAAACCATCTTTACAAATATTTAGTTTTACTTAGTTTCTCTCTATCATATCTTTGTTTAATCATTCTGTCATTCTACTGCGATTAAATAATCGTAAATACATTACCTCATCGGACATGATTGTCACGGACAAGTTTTTCACGGACCAAATTTTTCACGGACATAATTATTCACGATCATGACCGCCCAAAAATTTCCAAAAAATTGTGAAATGTTTGGTGATTTTTTGATAAGTGTTTTACTCTTTTTTGAACTCTTAAGTCATAGTAATCATGGTGCTATAACTTAAGTACTTTAACTTACTGTATGTGACTGATGAGTGATTATATTTGTCCTAGTAGTAGTATACTAGTAAGCTAATATAGTAATCGGCTACACATATCTACGCATATGTAGTATAAGGACACACACTAAAATTAATGGAAATAATTACCGGACTTTATTATTCACGGACCTTAATGCCACAGCTGACATTATTTTCACGTACAAAAAAAATGTCATCAGTGATTCAGTTTGGCTCTGTAGGATATTTTTAAAAGTATGCAAAATAGCTAGTAACCACAAACCGTGACGCTAACAAAATTTTTGCTATTTTGATCTTTTGTCTTACGAATTTAATTTCAAGCTTTTTATTCCAGAGATATGTGAAATAAGATAAATTGTGAAAATTATTAATTAACGAATTTGATTTTGATTTATTTCCTTTGAATTTTATGAGATTGAGTAGAAATAGAATATTATTATTATGCATTTATAGCCATTTTGCAATAAAGTGAGGTAAGTTGATGGAAATAAGCACAAACTAAACAAACAAGCTGTTCCATATCTTTTAAAAGCTATACATTTTCTTTATCGTTTCTTTGCATACAAAAAGTCAGCGTCCTTCAATATCGATAACGTTTTGAGTCTTTTGACAGTGTATCCCAATAAGGAAGGTGATTATTTTAATCACATGACACGTGCATAACACAACCAAAACACGTGCTCGTTTGATTTCGTAGATTTGTTAAGTATTTTAAATCTTTCTTGACAGTTTATAAATATAAGTTGAACACATGGCTTTGCTATCATACCAGCTTCATCTGATTTACAACTTTAACTTGACAGATATTTAATTACTGGGCGGCGCTCAGCCTGTCATTCCGCCGACTCTCTATTCTATAGTATGTTTGTGAACGTTATAGCCTGGGGTCCCCAGGTAAGACAGATATAAATCAAAGTGTTTAGTTGAGAGCTAATAGTTCCTTCAGTCATTTGTACTGTCAAGCCATTTCCCACCAGTTTATTAAGCTTTATAAAGTAACTTCCTCAATTTTGTTAATTTTTTACTTCTATATTTTATAAGTTTATAGATATGGTTTGTAGAAAAATAGGGATGGGATTTGATAGTTATATTCATTTTGAGAAGATTATAGCAAGAAACTTAGAAATGAAAGTAACTGTTAACATTTCTTTTGAGCGGGTATTGGCCAAGAAAATTATTTTTTTATTAAAATATTTCACGGTATTATACCTACCATATCTTTCAAGAAAACCGAGCGCCGCCCATTCGCAATAGAATGGGGAATTGCGGATATAGTAAAATTCCTTTAAACCTTGAGAGAATAATTGAAAAATTAACATTTATTTTGGGCTGGCGTGGGCTTAGAGTTAGAGTTAGAAGAAGATAGCGTCAACACTCAACATGAATTACTTATTTGTTCATTTTCCATTGACATGTTCCTGGTACCCATCATAGATTTTATACAATTACATTACACTTACAGTTTTCAATGGAAGCCACCACCAGTATTGGAAATCCCAACGAATTGATCTCCCCTACAATTCCAACTGACAACCTCTCCAATAAAACCTTCGATACTTTCCCAGAAGCTAAACATATTATCTCTCAACAACACATTACTATCCTCACTTGGCTCTTCTTCACTGCTTTCCTTTCCACCGTTGGCAACATTATAGTGTTAGTCTCCTCCATCAAATACAACGCCATCCATTTAGACAGGGTGTCTATCATTCTGATTAGAAATTTGGCATTAGCGGACCTAGGATTTGGACTGAGTCTTTTCAGCTCTGCAATGAAAGAAGCGATGAGATGGAATGATTTTAAATATCGTATTTGTGGGATTATAAAGATCATCGCTATATTTTTCTTGTATACTAGCAGCTGTTTTCTAGCATCGCTAAATGTGAACAAATTGAATAATTTGCTTTTCCCGCTACGATCGAACATACGAAGATTCAAAAGAGGCTACATCATTTCATGTGCAGTGTGGGCTTTATCGACCGCAAGTATTGTGGTTATTGTCTTGAATATGCTGTTTTCTCATGATGATTTATCGTTTAAATTTATCCCTTATGGATTCAGTGGGGAAACTTTAACGTGTCGTTTTTATTTCCTAAATAAATACCAACGCTTGATTCCGATATTCATTACCATATGTTTTACGCTTATACCCATGGTGTGCGTTGTAATAACAACAATTTGGATGTTATTCCTTGTAAAAAGAGTATCGGGGATCCAGAGACAAACTATTTTGACGCTCCTCGTTGTATCAGCAACGTTTTTGTTGTCGCTCGCCCCAACTGTAGTTTTCTCTTCGGTAACATCAGGAACACTGATTTCTAAGGATGAAATTGAATTTATAACAAAGACAAATAAGACACTGTTTAAGATCTTGAAGATGATATCCTCGTTTCAATTTGTATTAATTGTGCTGCCAACCCATTTATTTACTGTTTAACTATAAGAAGTTTTGGTGCTTTCATCAAGATTAAGTTAATATCTGCTAGAAATAAATTCTTGCTTTTGTTGCGGAGAAGACGCAGGATTAGGATTGCTGACTTGGCTGCTCGAGTTGCAAGGAGAGGCTGACTATTAAGCTAATTTACTTTATGAAGACAAATTTCGAGTTTTTGTCTTTGAAGCTATTTGAAAGTGTAAGTGTAAGCCATGCATGCGACATGCATATGGGATTGTTCACAAATTACGTAAGTCTATGTAGGAAAGAGGGAATTTGGTACACTTTGACAGTATGAGTATGACTATTAACGAACGCAATTTTTACGCGATAACTATGAACAATTACAAAGTGAATACGTAAATCTAAAATGGCCAAAATGTGGCTTAATAATATTAATATATGTGAGCGATCCCTAAGCTAGGGTAATACAGGTAATACTATAATAAGTAGAGGTATATATTTCGCATTTTTCCAGAGAACGTCAATAACATATTAGACTTGTGATAAGGAGAGGCTGACTAAGCTAATTTACTTTGTGATATGTGATAAGATTAAGAAGTCTACCTTTCCCTCTGACTGGCTGGCTGGATGGGCTGGTATTTGTAACGTAAATTATATTATGAATCATACGTGTTCCTTATTTTGCTGTCTATATGCCTTCTAATTATGCTTTGATGTTTGAAAGTGAAAATTAGATTTAATCTCATACAACAGTTTTTTCTATTTGGTTTTATAATTAACAATTAAGTGACTTCAAACTCGGCACAGTTAAAATTTGCCAGAGCACAGAGTAAATCAATAAAAATTACTTTGTGGTTTCCAGTAAAATTGGGAAACAAATAACTTGCTTTAATTTTAAATGTTCCAGGTTACGTTAAATCATTTTTCAAAATATTTTCATCCTAGCATTAGAACCACCTCAGTGTTGAGTTAGTACAATGAAGCCCTTTTCTAGTATATAAAAGCCCTTAATCTAGTACATAAGACGGTTGCAAAACAGCTACAGAACTGCTAGCAGTCTTTTTTAGTTTTACCTGGCATGCCAATCCCAATGCACGGCGCTTTTGATCTTTTCGAGCTACTCATTTAATTGGTGAGAGTATATATATTTTTTTTTATCTAGACACTTATTTTACTTCGGTGTATTCCAACAGCCACAATGTTACACAAGTGCAACCAGCCAATTACAGGAAGCCGAAGGATCTTTTTGGCCAGAGACGGTTAAGGTAGTGTGTACCATACTTTCTTCGTCCGAGACTTTGCTGCAATGTGCAGCTCCTCATTTAACCCTCACACCCGATTTCTCGAGTATTCGGCTGAGTAGACCGGGGGGCTGCATAGACCACTCATGATCCTTAGCTGAACGTCGACGACGCTCACCCCACGACCAGGCAGTCAGTGGGTTTCGAACTCGCAACCTAACGATTGTAAGACAGGCGTTCTAACCAACTGCGCTACCTGGCCGTTAAAATATATATTTTTTAAATAATATACGTGAGAGAAGCGAGCAATAAATTCGCAAGCCTCGAAAAAGTTTTCAGAAACTTGTATTGAATCGAAAGTCGAAACGCACTTGATACGACAAAAATCGCGGGGGAAATTATTTCGTAGCCCCTAAAATGACTCAAATTGGACATAACGCAGTACGCACTACACACTAGCTGAAGTAGCTCTGATAGTCTGATACGTCGGATTATAAGTGTTTGAACTGTCGGCAATCGGCATGTGTTCACATAACGGACTTTGTAGTAAGGAGGACATCTCTAGAAGGATATGTCTGGGATATGCCGCGTTTAACAAATACAAAAAAGCTTGGAACCATAAGATCCCTCTGAGCAAGAGGCTTCTGTTGTATGAGGCTCTGGTAGTATCCGTTTTAATGTACAATTCATCTTGCTGGGCTGCCCCTAAATCAGTATTGGAAAAACTAGATATTGCTCACAGACGTCATCTGCGATCAATTTTGAATTACAAATACCCTCACATCATCTCCAACAAGAACTTGTATAAACGCTGCAATAGTGAACCATTGTCAGCTTAAGTGGCTCGTAGTCGGTGGAGGATGCTCGGACATGTACTGCGTGGGCCTACAGATGGCCCAGCCTATTCGTCGCTTGTTTTTGCTGTCAACACCTTACAGCTTCAAGGGCGGCGTGGAAGACCGCAGTCAAACCTTTTCTCACTGATTCTACACGACCTTAGTGTCCGAAAATTATCGTTAAATAATTTATGTGATTTGGACTATTTAACGTTAATTGCTCAGAATAGAGTTAAATGGAGAAGTATGCAAATTGCATGACTTTTGTTTGAGAAAGATTAGGGGACAGAAATGTTTACTTTGTTTACTATCTGTTTCTTAGAGCTTTTGTTTATATATAAAGCGAGACGATATATATACATAGGTATATGGTTCCGTGCCATTTTACTGACACAATGGCATCAACTTTAACACGACTTTCCGCAAAAACCGTAAAAGATATACAACTGAAACTTTTTTGACTGGGTCAAATGCTTTAATGGCCTTCAAATCAGCATGAAAAAATAAAAATTGGCCAAGAAATAGGAGTTTTAGAGCCCAAAATTTGGACTCCCAAGTGGTGTCAAAAACGCGAATTAAATAGGTAATAATTATTTTAGTCTCTTGAGTCTTGACACCACTTTAGGGTTAGACGGGTTCCTGCTAGTCACTACTAATATATCATAGAGATCAGGATTGATGCTTTAATGGCCTTCAAATCAGCATGAAAAAATAAAAATTGGCCAAGAAATAGGAGTTTTAAAGCCCAAAATTTGGACCCCCAAGTGGTGTCAAAAACGCGAATTGAATAGGTAATAATTATTTTAGTCTCGTGAGTCTTGACACCACTTTAGGGTTAGACGGGTTCCTGCTAGTCACTACTAATATATCATAGAGATCAGGATTGATGCTACAGCATTCATTAAACGATTGCATTTTATAAACCAGATTTTAAAGTTATTTAATTGAATTGAAAAGCTGTTTCTAAAACAACCGTTCCAATTTCCATAGGTGCACAGCACATCAAAAAGTAGAAAATTCAGTGCTGAACTTTTATAGATGAACGTGCAATTTAAAAGAGATCGACAACTTTGTAAAGCAGATTATAATTACATATAGTACTCCCACTCCCGATACAGCTCAACCTGTGAAAGGGTATATTCTTGCCATTAGTTTAACTGCGTCAACGTTACGATGGTCTAGACGCGATATTTTCTCCTGCGTGGTGCTATATAACGAGAATTACATAACCGAGATTTTATTTTATCACAGTGCTGGCAAGCACGACCGGTGCATTTATTGTGGGTATACTATGTACCCCCTTTGATACACGTTACAAGCCTCTTTCGTGCACGCGAAGCGTGCACTCCGGCCGGAGGAGGCGGCCGAAGGCCGCCGCCTCCGGCAGGAGTTTTTCAGGCATTAAGACTCATCGGAAGTCGTTCAGCAGATTTAATTTTAGTTCAAAACATTCTAATTTGATGTCAAAGATGACAGGAATAAAAAATAGTTATGTTGAGATTTTTAAGAAATTTGCATAAAATACTCGCCAGCACTGTTATACGAAATTCGGTAAAAAACCCAAAATCGCCATATTCAGGAGCCTTAATAACCATGTTAAAATCGAGTTAGAGATCTGAAATTTTTCAGAGCGTCTAGACGTTAACCAAATCGACTGCAAAAAAAGTTTCAGGTCTCAGGATCATCGGGAAATGGGTTTTCTAGAACCCCTGTTTTACGATAGATTGTCGTGATACATACATACATATATTCAGGGATAGACGCTTTGCCAGTCAAATGTAGCCTGTTTTTAATTGTCCATAGATTCAAAAGTATAAAAGATACAGCAATTTCCGACCACAGGTCTTGAAAATAATTGTTTACACTTTAGTTTACATTGTATAAACAAATTATTTGACGTCATGAACACCCCTTGATGACGTCATCAAGTTAACCGTTTTTAAAACTTGATTTTTGACAAAGTAATAACTTTTAAAAATGATTTTACACCATTAAAAAGTAATTGAATTCAAAATCTGAGGAAATTTTTATCTTAGATAATTGTTCAAGCATTCTGAAAATCTACCGGAAAGTTTTTCTAGCTTGCTCCTTCATAAAGATATTCGTGATTGAAGTTTGTGCTTTTTTGAAGAATTATTTTATAAAAACGTCAATTTTGCGATTTAGTATTCTCTGGTGTTGGGCCATGCCTTGGGTTGTGGAGCTCAGTTCTGCTTCCTATAGGTATAAATTGTGCATTAGGCTAGTTTTAAAGTTGAAAATCGAAAAGTTGCACACGTGGGGACACGCCCAAATTGATAGAAAATTGCTAAAATCACTGAAAATTGCTGTTTTCGTCATTTTCTGTCAACTTTAGAGTGCCGTTGTGATTACAGTTCTTCTTGAAATACTTTGAAACTTTGCATGCTTATCAAGCTATATATAAAACAATTACACGCAAAAATTTACGGCGATTCAATATTGGATGCGCACGCAACGTCCGCTCAAAGTTTGCACGTGCGAAAAGTGAGAATTTTGCTCATTCGTGATTTCCAACAAATTCTGCTTTTTAATGTCATTATATATGAATTTAATGCCAACTTGAATGAGTATAAAGTGGCATATTCAGTCAGTGATCGACCGATATGCTTACCTAAACACAAGGAAATGTTTTTAAAGGAAAAATTTCTAAATCGTGGAAACTTCCGATCCTTATTAATATTAATGAAGATATCAGTTTATATTTCGACGTTATAAAGTACCCTGACATTATAATCAAAAAGAGATGATATTTTACCAAAACCCATAATCATGGGTAGAGTGGACCGCTGCCAGTGTCTCTCTTTCCCAAACAAAAGGAAATGATATTAATTTGATTGACCGTTCTCAAATGCAAAATGATACCGAGAATGAAATCGGTCCCTCGCTTTTCCCATTCATTAGCAATTGTAATAGATTATGAAGAACTACCCAAAGGCATCTGTGGGGGAAAAGCGAGCGACCGATTTCATTCTCGGTATCATTTTGCATTTGAGAACGGTCAATCAAATTAATATCATTTCCTTTTGTTTGGGAAAGAGAGACACTGGCAGCGGTCCACTCTACCCATGATTATGGGTTTTGGTAAAATTTTATACTCCAAATAGTCGGCATCGGTTTGTGACTGACTTTTGTACCACTGTACATCAGGGGTCGCTCCTATAATGAACTTTACCAAGGCATGAATGCCTCCCTCCCGCGCCCTCCGTGACAAGTAACACTGTTCACTACATCCCAAGACTGAACATCACTGAACTTGGAAATTTTTTGGGCTGGGAAAACTATGTGCTCTATTACTATATAATCGCTGCTATTGACTTCTTCCTCGCTATAATCGGTGAGCATTATTAACGAACGAATCTAGTATATTATAATCAATATAATATACTAATAATCTCAATAGATGTGTGTGTGTGTGTTTGTCTACTGTCTAGTGTCTGTCTGTCTGTATAGTGCCCAAATAGTGCCGAAAAAACTCTGACGAAGCCAAATGATTAAGGTTTTTAAAATCGGTCGGTGCGGTGGTAAGTGGTTTAAAATTCGGTAAAAATTCCTCGACAGCTTTTTAAAATTCGTACAGTTCGGTACCTTTTAAAAGTTCGTACAGTGCGTACTGACCAACTATGCTGAAACGTGAACATGAATAGTATCGGTTTCAATTTAACATGCCTGTTTGAACTATCATTATCTTGAAAGAAAATTTTCGTCTGAATTAGTGCAGAAATATATACAGCACAGCTGTGAAATCCCAGTTGTCGGGGATACGTAATGATTGGTTCCCAGTTGTCGGAGCTGATTGGATTTCCCAAGCTTGCATGTTAATTAGTTAACTAAAGGTAAAATTGACAGGTTCCCAGTTGTCCGTCAGCCGATCAGGGGGACATTAAATCGTATGTTTACTTTCCTTATCTGTATTTTACCCTCTGTTGACATTGTTATCTGTTGTGAATTCTAATATTATGCAATACAATGATTATTAACTATTCTTATCATTAGCCTAGGATTCAAGTCCAAGTTATAAACAAGTGTATCAATTTTTTGAAGAACTCACAAATTATAGACAGAATATAAAACGTTATGTTGATAGGTGAAAATTCTGTTTTTCGATGGTCTACATTTTCATCAGTTCTGAAATTTATTAATTAAATTAAATATAACGACAAGGAACATATGTGGTAAAACTCTGACAGAAAAATATATTAAATACTACGATACGAAGAATTATAACATACACTGATTACAAAACTAAACAAAACATGAAAGTACTAAACAACTACGAATTGAAAAACTAACGTCACTTAAACTTAACCATAACACAAACTGTAGCACAGGTGCAACTGTTCAACACTAAATTTAGTCCAAGTAAATCCGGCTAAACCGGTAATAGTCTATTCCCCATTATACACAAATTATACACACAGTACGATACACACTTATCCGTGTAGCATAAACTTCATTGTTTCTAATAACTCTTCCTTAACATTTATAGAGGGTTCATGTTTACTTATCAAAATAGCTTCAGATATTTTTCGACGTGCAGTACTACTACTAGACTGTTTATCTAGAATGGTGAAAGTTAGTACAGGTACACAGTTAACATAATGTTCTACAACGTGTTTGCCTATGGCATTGTTAGGATATGTGGAGGGATTACTACTTGTAATTAACTGCTTGTTTCATTTGTTGAACTCGCTAGTGGAGGAAAAACAGAATTTTCACCTATCAACATTACGTCATGCGACTCTTAAACAACGCCCCACTTACTCATCTTATCAGAATATAAAACTATAACATTATCTCTACTACAGCTTAATTAGTCCATAAGAGACGACCCCCTTACGAGGGGCTTTGATCAATCAATCTAACTCTAAAGCTGTTGTATTAATTCTGATACCCTCAAGCTGAAGATCAAGCTTGATATCATGTTATTAGAAATAAAAAAGAAACATTATATTTCTGATGCACACAATTCATTTTGCTTCTTGTCGCAATAGTTATCCATTTTCACAAATACTTTATCATGCCAACAACCCAGGGACAAAAGGAAATCGCGGCATGTACGGAATTGCGATTTTTCCCATTATTTGCGACAAATTTTATGTATAGTTTAATGTATAGTCTGTTAAAATTCGCGGTATCGCGATTTTTGGCCAAAATAATCGCGAAATCCTTTTGTCCCTGCAACAACCCAATATTTTGATGATTACAGTAACAAGACTGCTTATGGCATTAAAAGTGATGCTATAAGATACACTTGGGCAGGATACTATCTATTCGTCATTGCCTCATCTTTAATAGGAGACACAATCATTCTCATAGCATCCATAAAGTACAAGGCCTTTAATCTTCATCGAGTCATCACTGTCATCATCCAGCACATAGCAGTCTGTGACCTGATTGTATCTGCTACCGCTGTTCTCCCAAATATGTTCTCTATCATCTCTGATAAGTAGGTGCTAGGAAAATTCTTCTGCTACTTGTTATCCTATGCAAGGTACTTATATTCCTACCTGACGAGCGTGTTTCTCATCTGTGCCATGACAACCAGCAAGCTGCTCCTCCTGAAATATCCCTTCTGATTTAGAACGACCACTTCGAAGAAAGCACACTTGATCAGCGTACGGAATATGTTGGATGGCAGCTTTCACCTTCCCTGTGACACTCCTTCTCTTAGATAAAGATGATGTTTTCTTTTCGTATAGGGGTTATCAATGCGAATATGGTTTCTCATCGGAGATATATCGCTATCTGTCTCCTTTTATGGCAGTGCCATTTTTATTTATTCCAATATGCCTCGTTGTATCAACCACCCTTTGGTTGTTGATTGAAGCCAGAAAATTTGTTTCCAGGAGCAGAGAAAATTTGAAGTGGCAGGGGATCGCGACAACAGTCCTTACAGCCACAGTCTTCTGCTTGTCTCTCCTACCATACCTTGCTTACCGTTTTAGGGAATCTATAGCTATCGTCAGCGTATATGACAAGAGCAAGAGTTCATTCTACACCACGTTTTATAGAGTTGCACTCTCGCTCCTGTTTTTAAACACCATCAGCAACTTCTACATCTATATAGTCTGACCGTGTTTAGCTTCAGAGCATTTATCCGGTCGAAAATGCAGCTGTCTTATCAGTTCCCTGACATTACCAGCGTGGAAACTTCTACAAGTCATGGTATTTCAATATTGATATATGAATGATGAATATTAATAGTATTGATATTTATTTATCAACACAATTGTGTATTATTAGCACAATATATTCAATTTCAAAAACATATAATATATGGATCACATCATAAATGATACGTCACTGATTGGGCCATGTGATGTGATACCTGTGAGAGTGTGAGAGGCCTGAATGAGAGGTTCCCAGTTGTCGGTCATCGCTCTGATCACTCTTCCTGTTCGTGATTGGACGGATCAGCGTCACGTGACAGAACACCTCTATTACAATTGGTCACGTACAATACAAACTGTTGGGGGGGGGGGGGTTTAAGATATAAACAATCGATCTTGAATCTTGATAGTGTGTTGGTCGCTCCTCCAACTGACTGTGATGCTAACCGTTCAATCATGAACGGAACATTAATATTGTTTACTCCAAGCGTGCTACACTTGAAATGTGAGATTTTTCTGAAAGGGCCCCTAACACTAACAGTTGAAACCAACTTAAATCGTAGCATTTTTCATTTTTGAATGCTGATTGCGAATCACCCCAAATGATGCTCCCCTGGCGAGATAACGGTGAAAACTGAGAAACTGTCTTGATCACGTGATATGACCTATGATTATGAACTTATAATAAAAATGTTGGTCTATTTTCTCGTTAAGGTTTCAGCATATGCTTAAGTTAGAAATCGGGTTTGTGTTATATATATATAT